TACTCGTGTATCAGCCACTGCTTGAGACGGGCTGCCTCAAATTTGTTTCACTTGTGTTCTATTTTCAAAAAGCTAAAAAGAGATGCTGAAGGTTTCTTAACTATGCAGCAGAGACTGACAAGTATGATCCAATACTTCGCATGTGCATAAAGTCATAAATTGTCTCCCTTGTTTTTAATACACTTGTTTTACTACCACATGATGTAAATGGAGTTACAGTAGTTTAAGAGAGGGTAAATCCCTGAAAATAAAGGCATTACCCTGCTATGAAACTACTGAGGACAGGAAGATCAATCCCAGTCCACTAGATGCACTTTTCAGTTATTTCATGCTGAAATGTTCTCTGAATCACTTTGTACAGCTATCTTAGCTCTCCATCTCTAAAAATTCATTGTGAACATTTTAATTCCATTTCTCTCTTCCACAGTCTTAAGATGATGTTTGTCATGCAGTGGTCCAAAGTGTGTGTTTTCATCACCTAAAAACTAAGCAGCATCTACTGTTACGCAAGCAAGTAGGGAAAAACATGTCATCTAGATTTAAGCCAATAAACCCACATGCCTTGGAAACACTCCCAAAAGCACTTAAGACGGGAAATGAAACTTTACTGCCCCAGTGTATTATTGTGGTGCCCAAGAACACTACGATAGCTTGGGATGAGGCTCAGAATTTCCATTAGAAACCCAATTTGCAGGAAGTTTAACTTGGCCATGAACATTTGCTTCAGGCTAAAAAACTATTTTATAAGCTCTCCCTCCATGTGCCAATAACTTAAAAAGTTTGGTTGGATTTCAGTCAAAGAATAGCTATAAATTTGTCATCTCGTGTAGAAGACACGATGATGTCAGTGGCCCATAGACTCTCAGTAGAGACTCTTGCTAGACTTGGGATCCTGCCTACTTTTTTCCTAGCCTGAGCTGCTTTAGGTCAATTTATTGAAGTCTCACTCTTTAAACCTTTAACCATATGGCTCCATAATTCCCCAAATTGCCTCAGGTCATCGAGAAGCAGCAGACGCAGACACAGTGGTATCACAAGCAACAGCTACTGTTGGGAGGCAATTGGTGAGTTGCTACTCTGTCCTACCATCATCCAGCTGCAAAACATGGATGGGCCCAGACATAACGCTGGACTCATTTTCTTTCCAAAATAGTAACTTCTATTAAAGTACACACACACAAAAAAAAGCCTAATGGCTTTCCAGGAAAGATTGAGAGGAAGAAACAGAGAACTTTGAATAAATAATTTTTTTCTCCTGAGGTACTCAACATATAAATACATATAAATAAAACCTGAAAAATGAAATAAACTGAGTAGACTTCTTCTGTCCAAGCTCAGAGGGAAAAAAACAAACAAACAAACAAACAAAAAAACCCCACAAGACAAGCGCCTATTTTATCAATTTTACAGCCCAAGAACTACCTACGTATCAATCCTACATTCCTTTCATGCAGACTCTCAAACCATTCTGAAATGCAACACTTTCGATATTCATCCTCCCAGATCTTCTATACTACTAACCTCGTTATCTGGCTGGCACTTGCTGTCTTTAGTTGGCCTCTGAGTTCTTCTAAGCATGGATTCCTCAGACTCTGCAGACTGAAAAGAAATTAACTGCTTTAGTCAGCATGCTGAGAACTGAGCTACTCGCCTGAATAACATGAAAGGGTAAATGAGCAGAGAGAACTTAGCACATCCTGATGTGCATCCATCTACCTTATTCATCTACCTGCCCTCTTCACTTTGCCTCCCCAACGTGGCAAACTAACTGAGCAAAACAGTTATCCGTTGTTCTCTCCAAGTAATACCAGGAAAGCAGCAATCCTTACGGCCAACAGACAGGTTCTGACAGATCTTACAAAATTAAACCACCCCTTAACATAAGCACCTTCGATGTCTGTTAATCCTGATTTGTTTTAGCATGAACCAGGAAGCAAAAGCACAGAAAAGGAGAAAAGAAAATATTTAAAGGAGGAAGAGAGAAGTTAAAACAACAACGTAAAAGGCCACGAAGAGACTGCTTTTAAGGCAGTTCAGGCCTTTACACCGAGAAGGCCTGAAGCGAAGTTCTCTTTCTTGAAAGTCTAACATGACGTGGAGAGTCCAGTACAAATACAGCACCCATGCAAGAATCTAGATGAGGTTCAAGAAAAAAAAAATTAAAAAAAAATATTAAGCTAGAAGCAAGCAGCTTAATCTAGAAAGTCAGCAGAAAAAAGAGATGTGCAACTCCACCCTGGGTGTCCCGTTACAGAAGTAAGCTCGAGAGAGATCAGTTATGGCCCAAAGGAACTCTCTTCAGCTCCATCTTCCCCAAAAGCAGTAAGAGGCTGCAACAGTGGGAAGACATATGAGGATATAAGTGTGCAGTTCCAACAGCCCCCTCTCTCTGCCGAGCGTAATCTGATGTGATCAGGAGAATTCAGATATGCAGAGTCCAGGAAAGAAACTGCTTATCAGATGTTCAAGAAACACAGTCAGATGTGTCTGATGGCTCAAGGCAAGATATATCATGCCAGAGACACAGCATTATACACACGGCCTCAGTCACACTCTTACCGGATCAAATCCATATCAAAACTTTCACTTCATGAGAGTAACTGCCGTTAAACAAAGTATTTCATTGTTAAATGAGCAGAAATACAAACATGCAAAGCCATTAGCACAAACATTCAGTCCCCACCACAGCATGGGAAAATTTATTTTCTAAAAAAAAGATTCCAATTACCTTTTTCCCTGCTTTATCTTTTCCATGTTCTCTTAAACGCTCTCCATCTTTTTCCCTGTCCCTTTCCCTGTCCCTTTCCCGATCTTTTCCTCTATCTCTGTCTTTCTCTCGTTCTCTGTCCCTAGCCTTATCTTTGTCTCTTCCTTTTAGTCTGTCCTTTTCTCTTCCTCCTTCATTGTTTTTCTCTCTTTCTTGTCCTTTATCACTCCCAAGATGGTCTTCTCTTTCTGTGTCTTCTTTTTGCTTGTTTTTTTCTGTTTCTCTTCCTTGCTTGGTTGTTCTGCTTTTGTTTCTTTCCCTTTCCTGTTTTTCTCCTTCCTTAAAGGTGTCTCTTTCAGGGTCTTTGTGTCTGTCTTCATTACTCTTCTGTTTATCACTTTCTTTTTCTTCCTTCTCTTTCAAATCTCCTTTGGGTCTTCTGTCTCTGCTTGAGCTTCTGTCTTTAATTTCAGTGTCTCCTCTACCCTGAAAAGAAAGGAAAAAAATTAAAAATTAATTCCAATGCATGACAGCGCCACGGTAACTCTCAGTTACTTTATATTGACAAAAATGCAAGGTTAAAAAAACCCAAAACAATCAAACCATAAAGAGTGGTAGCCCCTGTACCCCACAAAAGTTGAAAATGCCTACTTCTTTATTTCTATGGCTTTTTTGTTCTTCTGGTTTGGATCCTCTGCTTTCTTTATCTCGAGATTTTGAGGACGGAGGTTTTCCTTTAGCATCAGTTTTTTCCCCCGCAAGGATTCTTTTTACAGCGACATCACTGGACAGCTGCAAGGAATAGAAAAACATCACTGAAATGAGTAAATTATTTCATTTAATATCTCCTTTGTTCCTAACTGTAATCAACATGACTTGGGGGGGTGTTTTTGTTGTATTTTAATAAAGCTTTTACTCCTACTCTTTTTTGAAACATTTCTCAGTAGTCATAATGCTCTTTTATGCCAAACACCTCCTTGCAATTCTCGTAATAATTTGATTATGCGTACCAGAGCTATACAAATACATGGTGCTTTCTATGTATTGTAGCACAATAGTAATTCTTATTCAACAACTTGAGTTTTTTTCAAAATGATCAAGTAAATAACTGTCAAAACCTTATACCACATCTGTTAGATAGGTTACACATTCTTAATACCACATTATGTCATATTTGCTTCCACTGTTAGGCCACTCCACTTTCACCTAATACTTGCTCAAAGAGCATCAGTCACTAAAGAAAACTACATGAAGAATGATTTTCAAAACAACACACTGTTTAAAAAGCTTCTACATCTAGTTCATCTGTTAAGACACCAAGCAATTATCAATCAGATCATTTAGACAGCAAGTTAACAACATGTTTTCATGTCCAAGTGGCAAAGAGGTTGATTACACTAACCAAAAAAAAGAAGGAAAAAAAAAAAATCATCACATTGCCAGGGAATTCTCCTTCTTGAAACAGGAACAGCTTAACATCATTAAAACAGACACTGCCCTGGGGGCTGACTCCTGATTCCCCCCTCGTTTGTACGTGCAAAAATATGAATTCTTGTGGGTTTCACATTTGGACACAAACTTCTGCACATTAGCAACGTTTGCCTGCACTACCTAACTCCAAGCAGCGTGCTTAGCTCAGCACTAGAAGTATTAAGCTAGAGACTGTAAGAAAATCTTTTCCACAATGCACATGAAGCTTATGTGCACTGTAAAAGCCAAGGGGCTAATTATGTTAGCTCAATGGGTGGACTATATCCTCTGGATATTAAATCTCATCACAACATTCTACAAAGCTTTCCATCATGCACATTTTCTAACTCGTCCAGCCTCTCTGCATACGTTTCTCCATCTCCCCCTGCCTGATCTCAAGCGATCCATACGGAAGGAGCTCATGGCACTCATGACATAAATTTAAATGAGTAGATTATCAGACAACGATAATGCACACAAAACTTGCAGACAGCCTGTAAACACCGTAGTATTTCACAGCTAAATGCACACAATTTCTTCACACTCATTAATTCAAGACTTTTAGACAATACCTTTGTATTTCAAAAATCTCTCTAATACCTCTAAGCAAAAAAACCCTACTTTTAATGAAACAATTATGCTAAGAATGCAACAAATATTTTAAGAATTGCCCCTGCAGCTATTTTTAACAGGGTAGCAAACTTCTCCTTTGCTGCATTTCCACATCCAAAAAAGAAAAAAAGCAGCACGTTGGAAAAAAATTACTTGTACATTGAAAAAATTTACTGTTATTACAGAATTAGAGATTTGACTGAAATTTTACAGGAGATCAAGTCAAAGGTGGCAGCATCTGGTGATATAACTGATGTGTGTGCATCCAAAATTTTTATAAAACTTTATATTCCTCTTCAAACCAAATAAATGTTATTAAATGACTAATGAATAAGGTGAAAAATACAATCAGCATACATTAAAAACACTTAAATACCCGGAACATATTTGCCTGGGGACATGGCTCAAATTCTGCTAAGGATCATGTACTGTTTCTCTGTTGTTATTATTTTAAGTGGTGAACCAATATTTATGTTGTGCAATTCAAAATAGCAGACGAGTGTCAATAAAGTCCATCGCAAATAAGCTCAGGTAATACATCACCATGTGTGTGACACTGTACCTTATTCAAGCAACACTTCCCAATTGCTTGAAGAAATTCATTGGTCTTTTCAGGTTCGTGTCCAGCCACAACACGTGCTGGTTTTACTGACAGTGGCTCTCCTGTTACCATCACAACAGCATCAATCGCCTTCTGAAGGAAGCTGATTTTGGCATCTTTATCCTGGTGAAAGAGCAATTAAGAAATACTGCTGAGACTCCAAAACGATTCCACACATCACCTCAAGATTAGAAAGACTCTGATGGGAGGAATAGCTGCAGAAGGCGTCTGTACTCCAAGAGCAGCACAAGGTTTGTAAGGTCAGGAAGGAGGGCTGCCTCTGCATAATAGTTAGATATTTATTTCCCATTAATGGATGAACATTGAAATGGAATGACCAAAGGGAAAGTGAAACTTTGTCTTTTAAATCTGATTATCGTTTAGCTTCAGCACATTTTAAGACTGCTAGAAGTCTTTCTATTTTCACAGGCTACATGTTAAAGAAGATGAAGTGTTTTTTAACAAATCATTCAAGTATTACCAAAAGCAACATTAAAGAGTTACAGCAGGATTGTTGCAGCAGATATTGCTTGATGCAAATATTTTTCAGCACAGAAGTCCCAAAGTTATGAGACTAATAGGGGTCTAAATTGGGGAACTTATGCTTGTACATATACTTTACAAAGCAGACTTAACAGTGAACAAAGAAAACATACAAAAGATGGTGGGAAAGAGATGCAGACACGTATTTTTATCTCCACAACTACCAGATGTGTTTTAGTTTTGTAATTATACTTTACAAACAACTTCCCCCAAGTGCCCTTCAATAGAGATGATGGCTTTCGGTGATTATGCAAAATCATGAGAAAAAAAGGAATGACAAAATAAACAAAGCCCCACCAAGTACAATTTTACTGGAGGGTTCCTGGTCCAGAGAATCAAAACACAGTGTGAAGCCTCTGCAGCTGCAGAATACTTGGGGTGAGGGGAAAAAAAGGGTTTTATTAATAAAGCATAGTAAATTTCAAAGGACTATTTACCAGGCCAGCACAGAAGTTTACTCACTCATCTTTTACACTCATGAATGGAGATAAAGTATTTTACTAGCCTGTTAAAAAGTAAACCCACGTGAGAAGAACTCTCTATGTGAGAAGAATTCTGTATGCGTGTCTTAATGGGCATCGGTTAAAAAAAAAACAACACAACAACAACACCACCAAATTACCACATTCAAACCGGTAGCCGAAAAGCGATCCACTGCTGTTTCAGCTAATTCTGAAAAGAAACAGCTGTAACTACCCAGTACAACACCTGGTTCTGCACTGCACTTACTGCCTGAGCATCTCAGGTGCTCAGATCCAGAATGAACTGGACCAAATATGACAGACATACCGATGCAGAGGAAGACAACAGAAGCCAGTTATTTCCTTGGCTGAGCAAGGCCAGCACTCTTTACGTACACCTGGCAGTGCTACCTATTCCTGCAGCACTGGAGCTTAACAGAGCTGTTCATGCAGTACCTCAAGTTCCAGAGTCAGTCTCCATAAACAAGAACTGGGTCCTGCTATAAGCACATAAACTGTAGTTAAATGCGTCTCCAGAGTCAGGGTCCTTCCCCAACCTCAGCTCTTCCAAATGGATTAAAACAAACAACTGCCACACAGCTGGGATTTTCAGACTGTCTCCATTAACATCAGAGCACTTCAGCCTCACCAGTGCCCCCTGCATTCAAAAATAAAAAAAGGAAAGGAACGAAATACTACAACCTCCTTCTATTAAAATAGTTGTCCATCCTTCCAAGGACATATGTAATCTATTATTTTAGGGAAGGAGACAGGACACTATTCTAAACCAAACAGGTTTCCAAATAAAGACCCAAAATTTCCTCCTACATTGTCATAATTTTCAGCAGTTATGTTATCAGCGTATTCTCTCCATATAAGAAATCCTCTTGAACTCAATGAACAATCTACAGCTCCCATCCGCATCGGCAAATAAAATTCTATAAAAACAGAAGGAAACATCTGAAACAGTGCTGAGAGTTTAAAAAGATATTTTTTACTGAGTAGATGTCAGAAAAAAAAAAGTATGTCCCTTATTTCAGGTGGTAGGACTTATGTATATGTAAATAAATGTAAAGACTTTTTAGGTGTGTATATATATATATAGTTGATATGAAAGATTAAAAGAGCAAGCCTTTTATCCTTCCATTTATAAGGGAACAATTTTTTACTAGACCTAACAGGTGTGCAGGCAGCAATATCATCCAATGTAGCTGGTAGAAGAGGTGTATTTGTTTCAGAGAAGTCCTAACAATTAAGGAATCCTCATGTTCTAAACTCCGTTCACACCTCTCTCCAACTGATTACTATGAATATATACCCCTGAAACGAACTAGAACTCAGTGACATCCACGTGCATGCTCTGCACACCAAATTTGGCTTGTGGGATGCTTCCAGCCTGCCTCTCACACCTGACTATGCAGGAAGAGGGGACTAGCTATCCAAGCCAAATGTATTATCCCAATGGTGGAGACATAAAAGGTAGCACAGAAGAAATGGTGGGAATTTCGGGACCCCACTGCGATGTCTGGGTAGCAGAAGTGAGCTGAAACTAGAATAAAAGACAGCTGCTGCACGTATCCATGCGTGATGCTGCGTAGCATTGTGAAGGGATGTCCAGAACAGAAACGAGCCCCAGCCACCACAGAGGCCGGTCCACAAGCTTTGGGCTTTCCTAATTTCAGTCTATGCACCTCGTGATCCGCAGCAGCACAGCACAGCCAGCTGGCAAAGAGCGCCTGTCATCCATTCCCAGCCCGCAGCAAGCGGACTGGGGACTACAGCACTGGGACTATTTCACAGTGGGTTGAAACCTCTTCATTTTTTCTGAAAGCAGTCTGCCCATTCCAAGGCGGCACACCTCCTGCCAGACCATCACCACCTAGTGGGCAGCAGGACGACCATAAGCCAGCAATGTGCCCTCGTGGCCAAGAAGGCCAATGACATCCTGGGGTGTGTTAGAAGGGGAGTAGCCAGTAGGTCGAGAGAGGCGCTCCTGCCCCTCTGCTCTGCACTGGTGAGGCCACATCTGGAATCTTGTGTCCAGTTCTGGGCCCCTCAGCTCAAGAGGGACAGGGAACTGCTGGAGAGAGTCCAGCGCAGCCACAGAGATGATGGAGGGAGTGGAACATCTCATTTATGAGGAAAGGCTGAAGGAGCTGGGTCTCTTTAGCTTGGAGAAGAGGAGGCTGAGGGGTGATCTCATTAATGTTTGTAAATATGTCAAGGGGCAGTGTCAGGGGGACGGAGCCAGGCTCTCTTTAGTGACATTCAATGACAGGACAAGGGTCAATGGGTTCAAGCTGGAACATAGGAGGTTCCACAAAAATATTAGGAAAAACTTTTTCACTGTGAGGGTGACAGAGCCCTGGCACAGGCTGCCCAGGGAGGTTGTGGAGTCTCCTTCTCTGGAGACATTCAAAACCCACCTGGACGCGTTCTTGTGCGATCTACTGTAGGTGTTCCTGCTCTGGCAGGGGGGCTGGACTAGATGATCTTTTGAGGGCCCTTCCAACCCCGAACATTCTGTGACTCTGTGATCACACCAGGTGAGCGTTGTCCTCTAGAGTTACATAGGGCAGAACAACCTCACATAGAAATATACAGTTCTTCGCTACATGGGCTCCAGTTGCTGCTCTCACAACTCCAGCTTTCTGTGGATAATTTTGGTCTCCGCATAAAGATTACTCCCCTGATTTCCTACAGCTTCAGTGAGCCATATTCTTCCTTACCAGTGTTTTGAGAGGAAGAACACAAGCTAGAGGCATTTTCCCCTATGCTAAAGCACTTTGACCTCCTCTGCCTGAAGTCTTGATAACTATGATCTCAGAAACTGTGAAAGAAATTCTCAGAGAGGTACTCAAGATTGGCGCAACTTCACAGCTATTGCAGTATATAGACAGAAACAAAGACCTACTCAGGAGCTGCTAAGGAATTTGCTTTTTTTGATCCATAAAAAAAACACTCTCCCAAGAAAAGGCAGCATGTGCTAATCTGCTCTTCGTCACAGAGCCCACTGACAAGCTTCAACAGGGACCGCACCAACAAAACCAACATACAGTGTATAACTAACTTAGGTTTTGGTTATCCTGACAACAGTAAGAACAGTCACAGAAATAAACATACATATCAGACTGATAATTAGCTGCAAGAAGTGCATAAAACACTCATCCAGTTGGCTGTATGGATGAGCTCACAGGCCTTGTACTTGCAGTTGCTATGTGAAACAATCACCGACCAGTGTAGCTGTGTAATTAGCGACATACAAACACTGCGGTATTTGTCCTGAATAAACGACCAGTTTCCAGTCAAGCTGGTATTTGGAGAAGTCAGCATGAGCTCAGCGAAGAGGCAGAGAGCAGAAAAGCAGGAAACAAGACTAAGGTGACCCTTGTGCTTGAGAAAAGCATTTTTCAGTAATAACTAACCTCCCCTTCAGCAATCAGCCACTCGCATACTGTAACAAACCTCTTGTGGAATGCATATACTAGACAAATGCTTCAGCAAATCCTAGGATATTAAGAATGTTTACTGTATACAAAGGTGTATACGTTCCATTGAGAGACTACAAGACTCTTCAAAAAGCTGTATGGGGATTTCTAGGGTTTGTGGTTTATTATTAATCCTCAACTATCTAGTTAGGATATACCAAGCTGTAGCCTTATACTAGTACCAAAGTCATCTTGCTACACCATGATTCTTTCTATCTGTAATGCAGTAGTATTTTGGAAACCTAGATCTTGTCATAGATTAACCCTCATTGTTTTGAGATCTTCATAGAAATAGTTCTCTCCACACAACAGCTTGTTTGTGTCACGTCCACAAATGAACTCTATAGGTGTTCATGTCATGCACTGCGTAATATAACCAACAGCTTTTACAATTTCTTCACAAAACTAAAGAGAGGTACTTGACACCAAACGCAGAAAAGACCGAAAGTACCTTGAGGCAAATTTCAAAAAAATGGTAATATTAAAGCTAAATAAATATGGAATTTTCTTACATACCTTAACGTTATCTGATTTCAATTCGAAATCCGTGTAAAGTCCTTTCATAAAACCTGTCACTCTAATCACCTTCAAAACAAAAGGAGTAAGTTAACAACACTTGAAGGCCTCTGTTCAACAAAGCTTGTGTGGCAACAGGAAATATGTTGCTGCTATTTGCTTTCAGAGATGATACCTCTTTTAGAACTATTTCTAGAGCAGATTCAGAGGTCTGCTGTGTCTCTGAACACACTCCGGAACAACGAGACTTAATCCTTGCTTACAGTTGCGGCCTCCATTCGTATTTAAAGATGAAAACCTTTAACAACCTCGATGGTTGGTGCATCTGGGAGGTTCACGACACAAACACCATCATATGCATTTCAAAGGCAGCTCCACCTTATTCCCTTATTGATTTCTATATATAAAAACAGCAGCTCAGAGAACACAAAAAATTAAGACTACTTTTTTTTTTTTTTTAAAAGGGAGGTGGAAAACCAAACCTCCTAGCAGTTTTCACGAAAGATCAAACACAGAACAAACAGGGAAAAAGCCAGACCCCTCATCTGGTCTTAACCCTAAATCCCCCGGGATTTACTCACTACCCGAAACCCCTTGAGATTCATTTACTACTCGCCGCGTACCCCCCGTCCGCGCCGCCCAGCTCCGA